TGGAGGCTATGCGCAAGAAGAAGGATCGCTGGAAAAAAGACAAGGAGGAGCGTCTGGAAGAGGAACGAAAGAAAATCGACGAGGAGGAGATGCGACTACAACGGGAGGCGCAAACCAAGCAAATTGAACGCGCCAATCGGCTGCTCTACGAACAAACCGATCGCATGAAAACACTACGCAGCAAACAACTTCTAACCGATGTGGTTCACGTGAGTAGTGCGACTGTGATACATGCCCTTGCTCTAATAAACTAACACGCAAGCCTATGTTACAGCACCGCACGCTTCAGCTTGAAGAGAAACAAATGCTTAAGGACCAGGACGACTTGACAAGTTACCATTATGACCAGCAGGTGGTTGCCCAGGTAATCGAGGGTGAAGCAGAGGAACAGCGTAAAACAAAGAAACGCCTCGAGGAAAATGCTAGACTAGCGGCAATCCAGAAACAACAGCTCGAAGAGTACAAGCAGCGCTACATCAACGAGCTCCGCGAGGTACGAATGCTTCAAAGATACCCTCATAGCCACAGTAGCTATCTACTAACTGCGTTCTTTCAATATGAACAGGAAAAACGAGAAGGCGAACGCATGAAGCAGCAGGCAGAGAAGGAATATCTAGACGAAAAGGAAAAAGAAAGGCAACGGAAGTTGCGTTTGAAGCAAGCGAGTGAAGATACGCAGCTAGCAAACCAGCGCCTACAATTGCATCGAGAGATGCAGAAAGAAAAGGAACGTCGTGAAGATCTCAAACGCGAGGAAGAAGAGCGCAAAAAGCAGTTGCGCGATGCTAAGCGGTTGGATCTACAGCGACAGAAGAAGGAAAATGCCCAGGCTCGTAAACAACGCATGATCGACCTCGCCACGAACAACCTCGTGAAACTGGAGCAAAAGAACGAGGAACGTCTTCAAAATCAGAGCAAGGAGGTGCGTAGCAAGGAAGATAAAATGCTTAAAGAGCGGGCAGATCGTCGTGCAGCCGAGCAGGAAGCTATTGCGCGTAGTCGGCGTCACCAACTCGACTGTAAACAGCGCGAGAAGGAGCGTGAGGCCCAGGAAGCGCTGGAATGTGTCGTTCAGTGGGAACAATTCGGTAGGCGTATCGAAATGCAATCCAAGCAAGAGGAACAGGAACGTCGGCTGGAAGATCTTCGACTTGCAATTGGACAAAAGCAGCAGGCTGATGCCAGACGTAAAATTCTCAAGGACGAACGAGCCGCTCAGTTACAGGACGATCAAGCTGCTCGTTCTGTCCTGGACCACGAGGATGATCGATTCAGGGTCGTGGCCCAGCGAGCACTCGAAGAGGCTCGGGAGCGTGGCTTGACGAATGTGTTTCCCATTCAAAAAGCGATGGTGGAGAAAAGGATCGACTTGCTACATGCATCAGGTTTCCGCGTCTAGCTGTAGTGGCTACCATTATTTTATATGAACATGCACACCTTTCTTTCGCTTGTTTTTCGCGTTGCTAGGCAATGGATTTCAGCTTTACGGATACAAACTTGCAAGCTTGCTCGAGTCGATCACGCAGTAATTGCAGCATTCGATTAAACGATTCATTGCGCGCAAAGGTTTCCCACCGCTCTCGCCTCGTTTAACGACATAAGGCTTTCAAACCTCCTGTTTGGTCCTCAAAAGTGCCTCACGTCGCTTGTATTCCAAGTAACTTTTGTTGAACTGAGATCCGACCAATGTAAGTGGCATGACAGTATAACAGGCACCGAAGATCATAGCCACGACAGCTACAAGCTTCCCCGAACTCGTCACAGGCTCCAAGTCACCATAACCCGCAGTCGCCAGTGTTAGGATAACAAACCAGAAGGCCGAAAAGGAATCATCAAAGCTTGAGAACTCCCCTTTATAGTTGACGAGAAAGCGTTTACCGGGCAAAGAACCTTCAAGCTCAGCTGGGAAGGTCATGTTGTGCTCTCGAATGATGCTTCCTTGGCCGTAAAAGTACTCCTGACCCTACTAAAGTTCGAACATGATGAAAGACAGAATGGTAGTCACGACCATCAGCATAAAATACGGGATAGTAAGTCTTGCCGACGACTTCGAAATCGACTCCCACAACACCTTAGTGACAGGGATAGTCTGTTGAATTTTAAAGATACGGGACAAACGTAGCAGACGCAGGAGCGTAAGAAGGTCTTGGGAGGCTGGCGGGATAACATAAATCGGCGTCACACCACTGAAGAAGCGACGAA